AGTGCAGGGTGTATCTGAGGAGCCTGTGAAGATGGAGGCTGTGTGATTTTGGATGGCCTTGTACCACACACAAGCAGCTTTTACTCCTACTGCCTAGTGGTCATCTGCTGATACTGAAGAAACAATTGACACATTTCTGTAATTTTACAGATTCTTTTCAGGGTAATTCCCTTTGCAGAGGGAGATGTGGGTAAGGCAACAAAAGCAGCAACAGCAACAAGAAGTTAAAAACAAACTTGTGGAGCTTTACATTGTTGAGGGAGTTTAAGGCAGATTTTGGGAGGAAGCTCTCCTGCATCTGTAAGCTGGTTTGTTACACTGCAAACTTCTTGCCAGCAACATTGTGGTGTGTAGAAATCAGATTTGGGTTTTATTGCACTAGTAGTTGTGCAAATGGAGTAAGGAGATATGCCTCCTTCAGTGAGATTAAAACCATCTCAGGGATGGATAAATGAATCAATGGGTATAACGGGTATTACAGAAAATGGGTAGCAGAGAGGATGAAAATTAAAATGAGAAGAATATAAGCTCATGCAGAGTTTGCAAGGTTGACAGTATTATTCCACTGAAAGGACTGGGTATATCAGCTACAGACATACATTTCTAATAGTACAAATGAATGGAGCTTACAGAGCCTTGTATTTTACTCTGCCCTTTCCTGATGTTGATAGGTTGACTTGGCAGCATGATATAATTTGTAAGAGTCTGTCTACTGTGTGAGTAAACATTAAACAGGATTGGAAGCCATGAGTAGGGCATTACACCCAAATGTAACCTGTGCAAGGTTAAGTCATGCAGTGCAAGAGGCTGTGACTATAACAGGATCTAGTAGCTGTTCATACAGATTAAAGTATTTATTATTCATATGTTATATAAAACTTGAATTATTCTTAGCCATGTAGTAGTCAGAACAGAAAAGACTTCTTTTCTTAATGTTTAAAGACCAAAGTGTGGGAATCATCTCAGTTAACTTCACAGCTCTGAGGTTGAGGTTACATGTCTGATGCAAACTTGTCACTTTAGGCTTTTTCTGTAGTCAATGAAGAATGAAGAAATACAGGCACTTTCAAAGCACTGTTCATCCCACCTGTCTCCAAACAGCTTCTTTAAGGTGCCTTTTTCTTTCACTGACATTAGAGGGAGCCTTGATCACCAGTTGTTTTAGACACCTAATTTTTGACATTTACATTTAAGTGGGTGAACTCTTGTCCATAACAACTGATTGAGGAGAGGACAGAGACTTCGGTCCTCTTGCTGTACAGCTGCCTAACAAATTCTTCTTGTGATTTTGAGCTAAACATTTCAGCAGATATTTTCAAAATTAGCAGATCTTGTTAAATGTCTGGCTCTTGTCCATCTTCCATTTCCTCCTCCAGGAAGTACTACTTCCCAGCCTCTGCAGAGAGATTTGAAATTCATGAATAAAACGCACAATAAAATAGTGCAGTAGGATTGTTGCTCATTCAGCTTCAAGTGGAACCAAAGAGTTTCTAAAAAAAAACTTTAAAAGCCCAAGTAAAACTTATTTATAGTACAAATGCACAGCAGTTCCTTCAGGCCAATATTTTATGGTGGGTGAGGGCCTCTTACTGCTGTGTAATTTCCAATAAGTTATTTTCTTAGTCTTGTGTCCTACCTTTCTGACATACCAATGAATATCAGGACAGCTTTTGAGGCTTTCACGCTAGAGTTAACACTCAAACCAGTATTTTTCTCTCAGATGTGTTAGTGTACTGATATTATTAATCCCATGTCTGCTAGCCTCTGGATATTTCCTCTCCCAGGACCATCATCAAAATTAACTCTCAATATGACTATGTTATGAAAAATTTAATATCAGTGAGGAAAGAAAAAAAAATAAATCTGGCATCCCCATAGTATCAGTACTGGAACATGTGAGGAATAAAGACAGCAACCCCCACTTCAGCCTCATTATGCCAGCTGTTTTCCTCCATGCTCTCTTATTCAAGAATTACCCACTACTAGACTATAGAAATAGAAGTTAAATTGCTGTGTGAAATTCAGCCTCTCTGTTAGGGAGCCTGGATGTCTGTTTCATCTCCCAGGATGTCCTTTCATCAGTGCTGGGGGACCCGTCGCAGTTCCCTGAGACTGCAGAAGTGAACTGGATGCACATATGGCCAAACTGCTGTTTCTTCCTCCACACTGACGAGGTGCAGGGCTGCTTGAGAAGTCCCCCCAAGCAGCTCTGATGACAGGATTTGTTACTCCTTATATTACTCTTTTCCACCCCCATGCCTTTTCCTCTGCCATGTTCATACGCTCCTAGATAAACAGCCTGCCCCTGTTTATTCTTTACCCACTAGCTCCAGTGTTGCTGGTTTTCCATCCTCACTCAGTATTTATGATAGAGTTGCCCTAGTAGTTTTTCCTCTTGAGTTTGTACACATACCCTGACACCTAGAAGCCAGGCAAGAAAAACCTTCCTGACTGGTTTTCACCCAGGGCCTGACCAGCCTTGGGTGGGAAGTTATTAGGAGAGCACCAGGAGGTGCCCCTGGCTTAGCATTAACATCAGGTGTCCTGCTTCTTAAAGGCTGGCTCTGCCTGCAGTGAGGGGTTGTTAGTTGTGGGCAGATTTTTAGTGTTGGTGGGGCACCAATCTGGCCAGGAGGATTATGTCTGTAACAATGGCACTGTTTTATGGCTGTGCAATTGGAATTGGACTGGTCACTTGGTTTCTTGGTTGGTTTGCTCCTGTCTTCACTGCATCTTGTACTGTGAGTGAATATATCAACACTTTTATTCCTCTGGTGGTTCACCACTTCATATTCTTCATGTATGATTTGGAATTGGAGGGAGGGATGTGGCCTGTGTGCTGCTTATTGGTGTTAATATCATTCCTATTGGGGTATGCAGTCAGTAAAAAAGAACTAGATGATCTTTAAGGTCCCTTTCAACCCAAAGCTTTCTGATTCTGGAGATTCTATGGTCCAATCTGTTGCTACATCTTCTCTTCCAACCCAAACCTTTCTATGATTTTGGAGATTCTATGGTCCAGCCTGTTGCTGCATCTTCTGGCTTATTGCTCCATATTTCTTCCTTGGCTGCCTTATAATACTGACCCAGAGTGGGAAATACTTAACTCTTCTGTCCTGGACTAGATGATAGCCTGCTTTCTGGTGACTTCTTCCATTTTCTGCCTAACCTGTCCTCTGAGCCACATGGAGCTGCTGCCCAGAAGGGGTCAGTTATGTGCAGGCCACCTTCCTGGAGATCATTCATCTCCCATTTACCCAGATTACCTCTCTAGCATCTTGACAGCGAAAACGTGTTGAATGGGAATGGCTGCATTCAGGGGATCTGAGACCTCTGCCAGATTTCTTACGGGGAAGCTTCCCCCAGCTAGAAGACAGGAAGGAGGAGTTCAGAGGGGTTGTGTGCTCCACCCACCCAGCTTAATTTGGAACAACACTCTTCAGAGTGCTTGCGTGCAACATCAGGGAAATGCAACGTCACCTGTAGAAGTTTCCTTCTAATACAAAGGCCAAAGAAATACTTGGGTGTCAGGATAGAACTACATTGTTCAGTGTTTCCCAATTATTTGCTAGGGAACAACAACAAGGAGAAAAATGCCCTGTCTAGTGCCTGAAGTAGTTGCTGCTGCTGTTGCTGCTCACCTGTATGGTAGATCTTCCTCCTTGGGCTTACACACGTGGTAGCAGGACATTAGAGATTATTTTGCTGAGGTAGAAGAAAAGAAACCAAATCATAGGGAAAGTTTGTAGGCTAAGTAAAATGACAGTATATCTGGTTTCATTTATCTCTCTAGTATCAGCTTACGTTTCCCTGCCATCAGAGCATCGTGTCACGTTGCAGTCTGAGGCAGCACGTGCAAACCAAGCAAGCAAAAATAGTTATGAGGATTAGAAGTGCTTTTCTCCTTCCACAAAAAAAACCTGCATCTCCTTCCAGATACAGATGGCTCTCGATATGTCATAAGACATATTGCCATGCTAAGTAATAAGAACTATACAGTAGTTTCTCTGGTAAAAAAAAAAGATAACTTACACCCTGAATCTCATTATTTGTTTCTTATTGACAGTTCAGTAGGACAGTAGGTAATACTTAAGATAAAAAAGGGATGATTATTTTAAGTTCAGATTTGAACAAAATCAAAATCTTGAATGAGAATTTGGTTTTTTTTATTATTTTTGGCATCATCCACCACTTCTGGAAATGCCTGTCTGCAGCAAGCTGATCATGCTGCCACAGTACCAGTGCTATGCAAACAAGATTTCTGTTTGGGTACAAGGTGAAGAGAGAGCAGAGATTCTCCTTTAAGATGTTCTTGTAGGTAAAATCTGCCCCTACGAAATGCAGCCTAGACCAGGACTTTATCAAAGAGAGATTTAACAAATCAGTTGGCAAATATATTTAGAAGACACAAAACAGGACTCTGGGATCACTTCATTCCATGTCCTTTGTTTAAATGCAGTTTATCTACCCTGACTCAATTACGATTCTGTTCTGGTAAAATATTTTGCTTTAATAGATAAATAAATTACTGAAAAGAATTTTTGAAGCATCGGTACGTGTTAAGCACTTGGTATTTGTAGGATCTTCTGCAAAGCCCATCTGCTATGCAAATGAATATCTGAGTAACTTCTCAATGAGTATTCATAGAGGCACGGATCAGAAAGACAATTAGCATGTGTTTACCTTCCGGCGGTTTCCATAAAATACAGATTTTTACTTGAATCCTTTACACAATGAGAAATTATTTCCCGAGCTGAAATTGTACACAGTGCAATTAATAATATGGATATATTGTTTGCTTATTAACAGATTTGAATTTTATTTGCTCGTTTCTCTGCTAAGTTCAATTCTCATCGATGGAAAACACATTCGTTCGTTTCATTATTCATGAAGCATGGCCTGTGTGGTTGTGATCGTCCCCACCCTGTGGGGTGAGGTGACTGTTTCTCAGTTCCTTTCAGGAGCACGTGTCCCCACTGACTCCTTCTGTCCTGTCCTAGTGCACTTGGTGGACATCTGGAACGTGATAGAAGCCTTGCGGGAGAACGCGCTCAACAACCTGGACCCCAACCTGGAGCTGAACGTGGCTCGCCTGGAGGCTGTGATTTCAACTATCTTCTACCAGCTCAACAAACGGATGCCAACCACCCACCAGATCAACGTGGAGCAATCCATCAGCCTGCTGCTCAACTTCTTGCTAGCAGCCTTTGATCTGTAAGTCTGCCTTTGGTGGCCACACGTGCTTCCCTCCTCTCCTTGGCTGGTGAGAGGATTTTACTTGCTCTGGAAATATCTTTGGCAAACAGTTTAACAAGTTAAATTGTGACCTAAATAATGAGAATATGAATAGTGCTAAACCAGGGAGAGAACCTAAATTAAGGACCTTTCTGTGGAGCCAACTTCAGCACAACTGTGTTTTCGTCCAGTTACTCAGATTTGTTCCAGCCCATATCAAAGAAGAATTAGATACAGAAAGGAATTTACATCCACTTCTAATTTGCCACGTTATTTATTGACACACCAGTGGCTGACACCACTGCAGTGCCTCTGCAGCAGTGCCTGGGTTAATAGCTCATTATTTTGAAAGAGCTCATTTTCCTCTGAGTTCTTGCAGCTGTAAGCAATTTTTTTTTTCTGGGTCGTGCCAGTGTGGCATGATTTTGAGACCATGACAGAAATAGGATAGAGACCTGGAGGTGATGAAATTCATGTTGTTTATTACTGCATGGGACCCATATTACAAAAGGGACAAGTTTGAGGTAGAGCGAGCCACTTACCTTAATGAGTGTCCTGTGTATGCATATTACAGTTACTGAATATGTAGTCATTAGCCTGTGCTGTGTTATTTGCCACCCTCAAAACCAAGTTGCTGGAGATCAGTGCTTAAGTCTGACAGATGCAGATGACCTTTTGCTTCATTATGGCTTATATTTTGAAAATTTACCAGCTGAAAACACTGGCCGTGATGCATTAAAATAAGGATGCTGCCCCTCTCCCCTCTTTCCTGTCCTCTTGCTTGAAGGCCCTGGTGCTGGGTGTCATGGAGCCAGACCAGCCTGCAGCTCGGTCACCATGGCAACAGGGAGAAAAACTAGATGTTCCACATGAGGAGGCTGCACCCAGCCTCCCCTCCAGCCCCTCTGAGGAGATGAAAACAAAGCCAATCCAGTGTGAAACCGTAGCCTTCAGGAATACTCTTCTCCCCTCACGGGCAGTAAAAGAAGGAACAGGCATTTTAATTCATACTGATGCAGCTGTGGCAAGAACACTAAAGGGTGACAAAAATGACCAGAGACGTGCATTGCTGCGTGCCACGAGCAAACTGCTGCTCAGCTGGTAAGCACAGGAAGACCCACGACTGTGGAAGCAAGACCTGAGATGGTGTGCTGGTTTTGCAGCTCACTGTAAAGGGGTAAAGATCTCAGCTAGACATCAAGGCTACTTACAGCAAAGTGGAGGTGAGGAATTTACTGCCCTGTAAAGGAATGTGCTTAAAGGAGTAAGGTTTTGCTTTTCATGGGAGGGAGCATCCCATGTGCTGTGGGTCGTGACCCGTTTATGTTCTCCCATCAGGCCCTCCCAGGTGTAAGGAGACTGTGACCAGCTCAGTCTGTTGTGCTGCCTCTGAGCAGGATGCACTTCCCAGAAGGACAGAGATGCCCCAAGGACCCCCAGGAAGAGACTTCTAGCTCTGGGGTCTCAGACAGGGACTTGCTGCCTGTCACCTCGTTTTAAATACACCAAATATCTGGGTTGAGGTTCAGGTGCAGTCTGAGATATCTATGTTCAGGCTTCATGGAGATGGGTGTCAGCTAGATCTCTTTACTGTAATGGGAGTTCAGACACCTATCACTGAGACATACACATTAAGTGTCTGATTCTCAAAATATGCCTTACACTTTGGTATGGTTCAGATGATTGAAGTGTTGATTAGCAAGTGATGATTGAAGTTCTCTGTTTCTCAGAGAGTCGTTGCTCTGCATGCTACAGGGACAGTGTGAGAGCTTCTGGGGTCTAACCAGAGCTGATGTCTTTGCTTCTCATGTGGCTCCCTTCCCCACAGTGCAGCAGAGAGGTCCTTCTCTGCTGAAGGCTGCAAGTTGGTAGGAGGAGGAGCATGGTCTTTTCTTGTGCTCCCATGCTCAGAGGGAAGCAGTGCCCTGCATATAGGGGGAACAGGGCTGGAAGTGTGAGGAAACTGGAATTGTCCAGTTTCCAGCTATAGAAACTGGACAATTAAACTAAATTACTGCAGTCTTCTCTGATGAAAAAAGGTTTATTAGGTTCATGGATCATACTGAAATCATGACAGTTGCCTGTAAAAAAAATTCCTGTTATCCTGTTATGCAAAGACAGAGTGTGGAGAAATGGAGTCTGCAGCTTAACATATATGAAAGGACCACAAGGGAGAAGTTAATGTGTGATTTAAAGTCTAATAAGCCTACCACTGTCTCATTTATTTAGTTGTAGTTAATATATACTGCCCAGTGTATGCTGTGCTGGCAGAAATCCTCCAGGCTTTAAACAGTTTCTTCCTTTCTTTATAGCCTGCTGAAAAACTGGCAGGTCTCTCAGCGCTCTGGCAGGGAGTATTTCCCCAAGCCTGAAATACAGATGTCTTCTCAGGAGCTGCAACCTGGCTAGCAAAACTTAAGAGGAACCATGGTGCAACGCTGTGGCATGTAGGCCAGCTTGCTGAACTTCCATCCCATTTTTTAATTCCTTTTCATGGCCTTGGGGAGGCACTAGGCCTGCAGGTAGTTTCCTGCTTACAGGTAGTATTTCCCTGCTGCTCAACCCTGAAGGGAGGAAAAGGTGGGGGGAAAACTGCTAGTGTATCAGCTTTTGGGTGTGATGATGCTCCTTCACACTAAGCCAAAACTGGAGTGCAAGTTATAGAACTGCAAGTCAACAAAACCAAAATTCCCAAACAGAAATGCTGCTCTAATTAATTTGCCATTTTGAGTGTGCAAGTCCACACTGTGTGGTAGAGGATCCTGACAGGCCAAAACCAGTGGGTGGAATGAGGTGGTGAGACTAAAAATCTAGACCAAAATATGCCTGATTTGTTTTCTTAACTGCACATTAAAACTGGGCAATAGCTTGTGCTACAAGATCCTTTTCTCTGTCCTGTGACCTAGCTGTCCTGTGAACAGAGCAGTGAGCTCTAGGCTATAAGCCAGACCCAGTGTGGCTGGAGGGGCTTGACTTATATAGAAAAAAAAAGGGGAAATAGGCATGCCCTTATTTAGCCAAATGGATATTTGAATCAGACTGTGTTCAATACATAAAGATGTTCATTGTGTGTTTAATTCCCTCTCCTCCACCTCAGCAAATCACTGAAAGCCATACAGACCAGGTAGCTTTTACAAATGAAATCCAGAACAAATAAAAGCATTTCAGAGATTTGGTCATTATGCATTTTGCTCTCCTAAGTGAAAGGATTTTGCTTGAATCCAATAAAATTTCCTTTCTGAAACCTCTTTGTGAAAAAAGGGAATTTGTAATTACAGCCTCTGACATTTCAGAGTTGGCTGTCCTGATTAAAGTGGAGAGTAGGAGACCCACAAGAAGCTGAAGAAATTTTGTTACTTTTGGAAGAGAGAACATAAAACCCTGGGGAAGCAGCACTGCATGCCTAGTTAATGAGCAAAATTGTATTTTCTCCAGGTCTGTTCCACGGGACAGATTTGGTGAAGATGTGATGTTAGTACTTTATAGTTCCCCCATGATCTGGCTGTCTCAGTATGAGTATTGCTCGAGATCCTGGCAAATGTCAGGGTCAGCTGTTTGGTGCCACTCTCCTTGCTGACCCACAAGGCAAATTCAGGCCCTGGAGCTGGACTTGGCTTTGTGTTGTCTGTGGATTTTACCAGGCAGTCCACGGGTTTTCCTTGCTCTGGGGAGAAGAAATCTTCTGCTCTGCTCAGGTGTCTGAAAGCATGTCTTAATTTTGCCCTTTTTCCCCCAAGCAGCAGGAGATAACCTCAAGCCCTGCCCATCATTCCCTTTCCTAGGTACTCCATCCTGTGTGGTTGCTAAGTGCATGTCAGCTTCAAGGTTTGCTTTTGCCATCATTTATGGTTCTTGGGCTTTTCTGTAGGGATCTGAAGAGCAGCCTCAGTAAGAGGTGCTACATAAAATGAGAATATTTTCTGTCCTACTTCAACTAGGAAAATTTATATCTCTTTGAGACAGCCTAAAGCTTCTTCCAGGGAGCACCAGCTTCACTAGGGATCTTCTTGCTGCTGTGAGCCACTGCTTCAGCATTTGTTTTTATGCAGCAAACACACTGAGCTCTCAGTGCTGCCATTTGGGTCATCTGTGGTGCTTAGACATAGCTTAGGGCATTTCTGGATCCAAATGATATTGGCAAGTCTTAGGGCCTGCTATGCTGTCTGCTCATCAGCCATCTATATTTATATATGCATGTGTGTATATCTGTGCACACACATACATATTTGCAGGGCAGACTGAATTTATACTGGCTCTGGTGTTGCTTTTATGAATACAAATGAGTAATACAAAATACAGTGTCAAAACTAATCAACTCAAACAGAGAGATTGAAGAGATTAATGAAATCTTTTATTTTTCTGTTCCTGTCTTCCATAAGCATTTGAGTGTGGAAAAAGCTGATGGCTCTAGTGTGGAAAGCTGAAGACGAGTTGATAGGTGTCTGCCATTCAAGAATATAATCCTATTAATAAATGTAACTAAACCTACAGGCAAAAATCATCTAAATCTACAGCACTTCTACATAGGCTTTATTTTTCCCTCTAATTCTTCCATTGCTTCCTAATAACGCCATTGCTTCCCCTTAGAGTTTAAGTATAACAGGTCTTTTAAAAAGCAGCTAAAAACCTCCTGATGAAGCAGTGCAGAAAAATTCACAAAGATCTAAGAGTAGCATGCACAAAGCAAATGCAAAATGACCAAATTCTCACCCATATTAGTGCTAAGTCCTGGTTTACTCAAATTAGAATCCAATTGATGAAGGGCGGAAATAGAAAGCCTTGAAATTAAAGTGTGCACAAAAGACAGTAATGAGGAACACAGTCAAAAATTATTTCTTAAGTAAGTGAGTTTATTTCTTTTAGTCTGTCTCTAGTCGATTTTCACACAAAAAGCAAAATTTTAAGTTAGTGTAAAGAATATTTAGAATTAATATTTATAATCATGGGTTACACTGATGTAGAACTAAATGCAGTTCACCCAATTTCAAAGACAATTAGCTAGCCAAGCATGGGGAACTGACTCATTTTCTGAAGTCTGGGTGACTTAATGAAGGCAGCAGTGAAGCATGTGGCATGCTTTAATGTCCTGAGATGAGTATACCATTCATGTCCACTGTACATCTGTATGTTACTGTATTAATCTCATTTGGGGTTAGCAGAGAGACAGTCAGAGGCTGTGTCTTTCCAGAATCAGTTTATCTTTTAGTTCTGATCAGATACAATTTTCTTCATTGGAATTATAAGTGACAGTCTGAGCAATCTGAGGGATTCCCAATCTGATGGAGCTGGGATTGTTTAGTATGGAAAAGAAGAGGCTCAGGGGAGACCTTACTGCTCTCTACAACTCCCTAAAAGGAGGTTGTGGTGAGGTGGGTGTTGGTCTCTTCTCCCAGGTAACTAGCAATAGGACCAGAGGAAATGAGCTTAAGCTATGCCAGGGGAGGTTTAGGTTGGATATTAGAAAGACTTTCTTTCCTGACAGAGTAGTGAGGCATAGGAGCAGGCTGCCCAGGGATGTGGTGGAGCCAATGTCCCTGGAGATGTTCAAAAAAACATGTAGATGTGGTACTTCAGGACATGGTTTAGTGGTCATGGCAGTGTTGGGTTGATGGTTGGACTTGATGAAGCTCAAAAATACTGTCTGTCTCCCTTTTAAAGCATGATGACAATATGTTCTCACTGATGTCATTGAACATGCATTTGGGAATCTATTAATGCTGAAGAGTTTTGGTGATAGCTGGATGATGTTCCAATGCAACTTTGGACTCTTACAGCCTTATAGTAAGACACTGAGAATTCCAAGAAAAATCACATTTCATCATTCAGATGAAAAAAAGTGGACATTAAAAGGTAGATGAACATACACGAGAGCATGTTCATTCTCATCTTTGGAAAGGGACTGAACATTGCAGCCTTTTTGTTCTGCCATTGCTGTCAGCACTGAACTTGGTTTTGCCTAAACTGGGGGGATAGGTCTCTGAGGAGCTAAGAGTGCCTTGCAGTGTGTGGAGTCATGTCTTACTCGTGCAGCTCAAATATTCCAAGGTTCCTATAATGGCAGGTGATCATTGGGGACCATCATGACTGTAGAGGGCAAATGAGGGTGGCAAGAAGAGGGGCAATAAAGCCATTGTGTGCTTGAAGACAGTGGAAGGAGCAGTTGGCAATGTGCTAAAGGTGAACACAGCATCCTGAGGGTGCAGGATATGGTCACATCCTTCCAGGCAGATAAAATGTCTGTTATTTTTACCTGAAGTGACTGAATTTACACAAAAAAAAACCAAACAAACAACTGTCTCTTTGCCCCAGAGCATACTTCTCTGTGCATTAAATATTAATTTAATAGCATTATGAATTTAAGTTGAAGATAGAGAGCCAAGCACAGCTTCAACTTGAAGAAAGCAGTGGCAAGACTCTTCTGTGTACAGGAAAAGTCCTTTGCTCATTCTGGATACAGGTATACTCCCCACTTTTCAGCAAAGTCCTTTTTAAAGGCTCATGGGAGTCAGGTGTATCGTTTAGAAGGCAGTTGTCAGGTTTTATGGACAGGTACAACAGACAGCTTGTGCAATCCTCTGAGCCCTTTTTCACTTCTCTTCTTCCCAGTGATGATTTTTGCACTTACTCTGCAATCTGCTAGGGACAGAAGATACACAGTGCACTTAGGACAGGGGCACAATGAGTGCCATGGGTGTCTTCTGGTGCTGCTGTAGCACAAATAGCAGCAATAATCATCACCTTAGTGTATAATGAGATAAACAGTTTAATATTGAGCTTCATATACATGATAAATCTGTTCAGAGATCTTTACAGAGCTGATAAAAATACTGATGTTACAATACTGATGTGTGTTCCCACAAAAACTGATTTTAAAAGTCTTACTCCTTTGCATGTCAATCCACATATAATGTGCATTCAAATATGTCATGTCAGTGATATACATTTGAAATGGAAAGAGGTCCATGTCATAAAATGGGCACATAAAATGTCTACTTTCTGCTTTTGAACAGGGAAGGACATGGTAAAATTTCCGTTTTTGCTGTCAAAATGGCCTTGGCAACTCTTTGTGGGGGGAAGATCATGGACAAATTAAGATGTAAGTCTTTGGGTGATATTTGTTACCTGTTAATTGTTGCTGTACTTGGAGAGATACCAGTACATGTAGGAAAAGAGGGAATTAGGATAAATTACAGTTTCATGGTTGGGCTTGGGAATTGAACTACCTACAGCTCCAAGTAAATCCCCCAAAATCTTTGGCTGGACTTCACACTGGACTTCATATTTTTGAAGCCAAATTGCATATATTGAGGTTCTGATTGGTGAATTTTACTTTTGTTTTTTTGGGGGGATGATTGAATTGAGAGCACAGGTAAGTGCCTCAAATGTTCAACACCATAAAGCATCATATAGCAATTTCTTCAGATTTTTTGTAATAATTCTCATTTCACTTAGAAATACAATGTATTTATGCACTATTTATATTTCTTCCTATAGGGCACATACTAATTCCATCTATTTTGGAGAACAGATTCTCATTTCACAGCATTTATTCCCAGTTCCCCAGTAGCCAAGGCATAGTTTACTTGTACTCTCAGTTTAGTTCTATGACATCTGTAGCTCAGATGTTCTGGTCCAGAACACCATTTTCCAGACTTTTTGACCAAAGGATTAATGTCAACCTTTAGCTTCCTCTGAGCCTTCTATGACAGCCAAACAAAACTGGGTTTACAAATTGTTGCTGATGAAAGTAGATAAGTAGAAAACCCAGATGCTAGTTTAGTCTTCCAAATTTGGTGCCATTTTTAATACATTATTTCTATGTAGGAACTCAACTGCAGAATGAACTTAATTTATGACAGTGTTCTATTTATAATTTAACACTGTTAATTTATATGTTCCCTAGGCTGCTTTAAGAATAGAAGCAGGGTCCATTCAGTGGAAGGCTGGAGTATGGTGCCAGTTTTTTGAGTCAGCAGACCCAGGGTCCTGTTGTCAGAATTTCACTTGCAGGTTACTGGAAATGAAGTAGCTGATGTGACAGCTTGAAAAAAAACCACCAAAACAAATGTTCCTTAGTCTATGATCCCCTGCTATGCTTAGGATAATTTTAAACAAGGGGAAGAATAAAGGCTGAGAAACACCTATCTCTGCAATAATAGAACTGTGATATTTTTATACATGAACAAAAAGGGAAGAAATGGAGAGGAGTGAAAAGTAACACATTTGAAAGACCTTCAGTGCTCTGTGTGTCCAAAACAATAATAACTGACTTAATGAACTTGTTGTCAAGATTTAGACTTAACATGGTAAGCTGGCAGTAGGCAAAAAGCTGATGTTGCATATCTTGTCAAATTAGATCCTTCTTATCTGATTAAGTGACTGCCTCATGCCATGCAGCAGCCTTAGCTTAAAAAGATGATAGGAATGTTTTAATATCAAAATCAGCTACTTTTAAAGATGTAAATCACTCTCTGTTTTCTACTGAGAGGGATTATAATTAGCTGCAGTAGTAGTGGAGGTTTCCATAAGCAGAGCACGTTGCTCAGCACTTCTGGTTCAAATCAGGTGATGCTGAGTTCAGAGCACACCTGTAGCTCTCACTGGAGCTGCTGTGTCCTTTTCTTGTCTTTTCCCCCTCAGACATCTTCTCGATGATTTCTGACTCCAGTGGAGTGATGGTTTATGGCAGATATGACATGTTTCTGCGGGAGGTTCTCAAGCTGCCCACGGCTGTCTTTGAAGGGCCTTCGTTTGGTTACACCGAGCAGTCGGCCAAGTCTTGTTTCTCACAACAGGTAACTGGAGAGTGAACACTCTAGACAGGATCTCAACCACTCCTCTGAGCAGGCCAAGACCTTCTCCCTTTCTTACACATATGTGCAGATTTGCCCAAGGAGCACATGGCTGGGTGGAGGGAAGGCCCACTTTGCTAATTTCTGAACCTAGGTTAGGTGCCTTCAGAGGGAAGCTAACTCCTATAGGTTCCTGATACAACCGTGGAGGAGAGAGAAGCTTAGTCAAAAAGTGATTCAGAACAGGATCTTAACTTACATGTTCCTAAATGAGGGATCCTGACTTCATAATTTAAGCACCTAAGTTAGATACTTGAATTTAGGTGATACTCTGAGACACGCAGTCTTCCACTCTGGCTAGTTGTTGTTGCTACAGCCATATATGAGACTTTACCTTCTCCATGCAAAGCTCAATTCCCACTGAAAAATCAAACTTCATGTTTTCCAAGTGGTGTACACACAACAGCAGTTTACAAGTAAGAAGAAAATTGCCTTAAACCTTAATTGAAAATGCGAGTCGGTAGGTGTTAGAAAATCCCTAGTCTCTTACAGATGACATCAGTGAGGTAGGGTCAGGAAAGCAAAGAATTGATCCTGAAGAAAATATGAGATTTTTTTCACAGCTCACCAGACTCTGTAGGTGCCCTGAGTACAGTACATTGGCTGCATCTAATAGCTAGGACTTCACACAATCCCATAATTGGGACTGCTTGTCCACTTCTCCAGTGGAGAAAGAGAATTCTTCTGGATCTTGCCACACATCACACTGTATAATTCCAGAAATATAAAGTAAAGGAAGATGCTGAAACTGGGAAAATGTTAGAAATAAAGTGGTATTTTCCTTCTCTTTATCCTTCCATTTGCTAATTGAATACTGTTGAACTAATATGTTGAATGGAGCATGAATAGTGTCATTTTCATGCAAAATAGTCTCATTTTTTTTGTTTTCCCTCAGTTTCATCAGTAATCAGTAGGCACTCCAGTCAACTGAATGGCATTGTTGAAATTCATTTATTAAATCATCTCCCAAATACTTTTAAATGGTAATGTTTGCATGTGTAAAACTAGTCTCGTTTCACAGAGGGAGACTTGGGAGAGCATTTCATCTGATGTTGAAGGATTTACATAGTGAAGTAACTTTTGGTAGTTCTGTGTGTTAAAATAATAGGAGTGCTCTTGCATGGCAGCAGGGCATTCAGGCTTTGCATGCTGGGCATGCTATTAGTAAAGATGAAAAAAGCAATTTCTTTTCTCTAAAAAAGGTCATTCAAGTCTCATTTTCTATCTAAGCAGCCATCAGAAATTACAATTTCATTGACACTGCATCCAAATGAGTGCACCAGATGTACCATGGTGCCTTAAGAAACAAAGTCTCCAGACAGGCATTAGTTGGTTTAGTTCACAGCCTCCACTTGAAGGAAGCAAGAGTTAAGCCTGTAATTCATGTAGGTACACAGCAGATTTACAAAGCTGCTGGTTTGCATCTTTCAGCAGCCAAGTACTCTTGTAAATCTAGTATAATATTTCAGTTAAATTCACTTTATCTAACTCTCATGACATCCTCACTACGGATGAACCAGAGTTCTGAAATGAGAATCAAAACAATATATCCCTGTGACACTCTGATAAATTATATTTACTGTCTTAGTCACACTGTAGGTCATTCACACTCTCATATTCTACTTAGTGGTATCAGAAGTTGACACCTAGGGCTAAGTTTGGCACTCTCTCTTGTTCTCAGTATGGATCACTTCTGCTTACCCAAAGCCTTTCAGCTTCCTGATACATAGATTGTTTGATTTCAGGGAAAGGAAAAAGTCTGCTCACAGTGTCAAATCCGTTTCAGTTTGCATCTGAAGGGATTTTTCCTGTTGCAGAAATGTTTTGTTTTTCTGACTTGTTTATTGGATGAAACTATGTATTTTCCTTTGTCTGTGGACCACTGCTAGATTGAATGGCTGTTCAAAATAGAAACAACCATGTTTTCTCATCAGCAAATTTTTGGAACACAAATGCCAGAGCAAGTGACTTAATGCCTCAGAACACTTACCTATGGCTTAAAAAGGTGTTTTATCACCACAGCTTTCCCCCATAGGTAGGATTAATGTGACGTTATACTGTATTGCTATTAAAAAGTGTAGTCATTCTAAAAAAAACACTTCTCTTAATCCCAAACTAAAAAGATAGACACTAACTTCATTTTCTTACCACTTGGCTAAGTGTTATTCCACAAACCTCGACTCCATCTGCATGTAGCATATATTTAGAAAACAGCTCTCAGCTTCAACATTGCCAGCAGCTGAAAAAAAAACCCCAAACCTGCAGGAGGAACATAAGCCTTTTAAAATGTATGGAAATTGTTCTGCTGGTGTCCTTCTATGGGACACTGCCCTCTCTAATCCATAAAATCAGTGACCACCAGAGGAGCTCTGCCATAAAGCTGTCAGCGACAACAAGTTGCTTTATTTAGTGCAAATCAGATTTTAAATTATAGCAGCATTCAAAAGTCTACTACATCATGGAAGAAGTGTTCTGGTCTCCTTATCTATTTGCTTGTTTAGACTGATTGTGTGTTTTCTGCCAACTTACCTGTCTTCAAGAGCAGAGGGCAGACTTAAGGCTACTCAGCTCTGCAGTATGGGGGCCAGGAGGACCCTTCTCCTAAACTTCATTCTGCCTTTTCTCCTCCTGTTCTCAGTTCTGCTGCAGACAGCACAGACACTTGTTGGTGGCATTGGTCAGTAAAACCATGACAAACATCCACAGCAGATCTCCAAAAGACAGATCCCCTTTCTGTGAGCTGCTGCTTATAGCTTAGGATGTCTATCTGGGAAGTGGTCATCCACTCTCCATGGGTGGGAAGGTAATTTGTACCACAGGCAGGTGGTAGTTGTTTGACTGGACTTCCATACTGCAGATATTGTGAGAAAAGTGTTTCAGTGAGATTTAGAGCTCATATTCTGGCCATTTCTGTTCATTAAAGAATCAAGACCATTTTAACAACTAGCCTGAAGTGTTTTCTCTCCTCCTAGGGACAAACATCTTTCTGTATTTCCCAATATCTTGCTCTATTTCAGTCCTGAAACTGTAACAGAGTGAGATGTTTTCCATTGATCGCTCGGTTTAGAAGAGAAATAATAATTTTCTTTACATCTGGTGGCAATTGTATATAAATGCAGCACAGAAACTCCATCTGGAAACCTCAGCTCCTAAAAGCATTCCACAACACATGGAGATGACACATCTCACCGCATAGCTGCTGTTTTGCTTCCTCATGGGGTAACCACAGTTCTTTAGCAAGTTAAAGCAGTAGCTTATGCAATCAGATATGAAAATTTAGCAATCCCTTTGGATATGAGGATGCTACTTAAATATGTATGTCTATAAATTATATCTGCACACATTCTCAGCAGGGCTTAATACTTTTACATCTTAATTTTACTTTAAAGGAAGGCTCAGTAGCTGATTTCTTAGGGACTCTCTGTCCTTGACCACACAGTAGCTGTGTACTTCAGCACACAGTATGCAGCCAGTATCCTACCTAGGAAAGAGCAAGTGTTTATGATGGAGATACCTCAGACTGAAATATCACCTACAGATCTGAAAAAACAAATGAACTAAGATTTGTTTGGACTTTTTCCAGACACCTAAGAAACTTAAGGCCCTAGATTACATTTTAAAAATCAGCAGGGATATTTTAGAGTTTAAATCTCTTTACAAGATAAAGGAGCATAGATCTTTAAGTGTGTGGAGAGTTTAGAAACAGTTGCATTCCCTGAATGTGTGCAAACATTATCATTATTTCCTTTCATTTGATGGAGTACTGTCAGTCATTCTCTGCAGTGACTTTTCATGTGAGAATCAGTAATACATAGTGACACCCTACGTGCACGTGTACTCAAAAGCCAGGAAAACATGAAGAGTTGAGTGCCAGCCTTATCCACAAAGCATCTTCAGGCAATGATTTTAGGAGAGAGTCTTCAAGTGAGTGGGAGCTGTGTGTCTCCATCCTAGCCTTGTGAGAAGGACTGCTAGTCATCAACAGTATACAATGTTAGCTACTAAAAGGAGTCTGGAAAAGTTTTGCTACTGTCAAGTCCTTTTTAGTAACCCAGAGCTAGAAGCAAAAAGTGTCTGGAATTTGTATCCAAGTGTTTTTGTAAGGACAAGATAAAATAATTTTGGTATGTCTACTGATTCTTTGTGCATGTTTGTTTGCTTGTTTGAGCAGAAAAAAGTCACATTAAACACTTTCCTGGATACTCTCATGTCTGATCCCCCGCCACAGTGTCTAGTGTGGTTGCCACTTCTGCATCGACTGGCAAATGTTGAAAATGGTAAGTAAGGGCTGCTGCCAAAACAGTTACAAGAGTAAACTTCCATGTGATGATTTTCTGGCTCTGTAGGTGGTTTTGTAGGAGCTACTGTACTGGGCTCATTGACTCCATGTGTTGTTTTTACAGTCATTGGTAAAATATTTAAAGATTCCTACTGGCCAGTCAGCCAGGAATGTGGCTTAATTTTTGCTGTGCTCAGGAGATTGTCCTGATCATTTCCTCTCCTCATGTGCTCTAGATAAGGAAACTGCAACAGGACATGATCCATTCACACATTTACATTTGGTACACTATCAAGGCCACAAATTTATTAGCTATGACATATGGCAGCAGAGAAGGAACAGCTTGACAGCTTCCGCTCATGCAGTATTCTTGGCAGATGATGTCCAGTGCAGTGCAAAATATCAGCCAAAAGGTCCTTCTGAAGGATCTCCTCCTGAGCCTACACTGCCAAACAATATACTCTGAAAAGTGGGTCCCAGATTTGTCCTTATCTTTTGCTTGTGTGGAAGATGAGGATTTATCTGTGAGATGCCCCTTTGTCCTCAAGGGTTGTCTTTCCCCCAAATGAGCAGATCACAGCTTTTAAGACAGGAAGGGACTATGAGATCAACTCATTTGATTATTGCACAGTGCATCTTGCATATCTGTGGGCAGTAACATGTTCCTCAGTCTTCCAGCTCCCTGAGCTTCTGGGGAAACGTTCACAGACTCACAGATGTAGTCCTTCAGCCAAACCCTTCTTATGCTGTTTCTGTAGAAAGTGCAGGAGCAGAGCTAAGAGGCTTGTGCATCTATCTCACTGTGTGCACTGCCAGAGTGCAGCCCACAAACACTGCACAGCTCCTCCTGTAGTTCTGCAGAAGCTTCCCAGAACTATTGGAACTCCCCAGTTCCAGTGCAGCCAGCTTCTGCTCTCCAGAAGGACCAGCACTGGCAATATTAAATAGAAAAACATCATGAGATAAGAAATGCTTTTACTGTCTTACTTATCTGGGTACACTTGTTCCCAATCTGGCACTTCTTGTTCCTGGGCATCAGAGGGAATGGTGGAGACAGTCATTATTCCAACACTTTAAATCTAGAAAAAGAAAGATTTAAAAATGGAGGACATTTATACAAATTTTTTAAATGTGAATTTAGCAAGATAAATGGAAATTTTGCAAATAATGTTCCAGCCTAGTATTTTGCCTCAGAGGTGGTTGGGTGGTTGAATGTTCCTGTGTTCTTGCTGCCTTGAAGGTTTACCTCTAGCATAACTGAAGATTTGGGATGCTGCAGGGAAAAAGAAATGAAGGGGGCAGAAGGAAATAAATACCATGCATACTCATCCTGTTAGGCAATAAAAGTATTTATACCATAATTTAAAAAAAAAATGGGGCTGGTGAAGGGGGAGGTATGCAGCCATTTTTTGGCACTAAAAGGAGAAGGAAGTCACATGGTCTTACACAAAATAAATTTTTCTTCCACTAAAAGGCACAAAAGTCCTTCTTGGCTATAGAGCCATCTATCTACCCTCCCTTCTTCAAGCTCATCATCCATCCCTGTCCCTCACCAGCTTCGTGCTGTTTCCCAGCCTAGAGCACTAACCCTTCTGGCTGCGATATTCTGGCAAGGAATTCACACCCCGACACACTCAGCTCTGATTCAAATCCTCCCAGACTGAACCTTATGACAGAAAAGCAGAAGGTGCCTGAGAACAAGGAGATGTTCAGTACCCCCTGGTAAATTTGGTACGTGCTGTAGTGAGGGGAGAGGAACAGAAATAGCAGTATTGCCAGGAAGGAGCTTCAGAATGTCTTGATTGGTGCCGCAATGTGCTCAGTGACTTGCACCCTTGTTAGTGTCTGCCTCGTGAGTGGAGCAGAGAACAGGACCATACAGGTCTCTTCAGTGGCTGCCATCCAAAGCAAAGTGTTCAATTCCATAGGTAGACACCTAACTGACACCAGTTGTGCAGGTGAGGCAGCAATAATTAAGAGACAGCGATGTACCTAAGGGAGCTTTTGTGTTTCCAGTAACCAGACAGCCAAGTTTGACTTCTCATTGCTTCAGTTCCTCAGCCCAGCAAAGCATTCTGCTTCCCCCAGCAAGGCAGCTGGAGAGTGCAGTGGATTTCCCAATCATGTGACTTTCCTCTCCCGTGGATTCTGTTAGACACTGAGCACGTTTTTCACTGCTGTGGGCAGGAGGTGCAGACGCCAGCTCAGAAGTGGTGGAGGGTCTGGAGCCCGGTGTAGGAAGCATTGCCCGTGGCTCAGCACGTGGCTGGGTGGCTGCTCAAGTGCTCACGGGTCAAAGCTGTAGGCAGATCACCAGGAGCAAAGAAGGGATTCCCCTTTCTAAACTCTTGCTGGGGGTTTCTCTGCTGTGTTTTATAGCTCGATGTTTCTCTCTCCTGCAGTCTTCCACCCCGTGGAGTGTTCCTACTGCCACAGCGAGAGCATGATGGGCTTTCGCTACCGCTGCCAGCAGTGTCACAATTACCAGCTCTGTCAGGACTGCTTCTGGAGGGGCCACGCCAGCGGTTCCCACAGCAACCAGCACCAAATGAAGGAGTACACGTCATGGGTAAGGGGAGGCTCGCAGCTCGCTGCCTTCCCCCGGGCAGCCGGCGGCACAGGAGGCGGGGGTGGGCTGTCCTGGGTGTGCGGCGGGCAGGGCTGGCGACAGGGCAGCACCAGGCTCAGAGCTTCTCCTCCTGCTGGACTGAGGGTGAAACCATCGCTGGCTCGCTCTGTTTGGCTGTGAGTGAAGCAATGATTATTAATGCTCATTCAGCAACGTTTTCAGTTGAGTGGCTGCAGCATCTGTGTAGCTCTTGGGTTGGTCCTGGCACTGCCAGTGTGAGCGTGGTCACAGGCTTAGCTCCACAGTGGTGCTTACCATAGAGAACACACTTCAGCCTTTTTGTTGTTAAAATAATTCATTGCTTTTTCTAAGCTGAAAGGGAAGTACCAACAGCTACGTTAACCTTCTCTGAAGGGTGTGAGACCTGGGGGCTAAGCTCTCCATAAACTGGAGCACAGCCCTTGGTCACAGAGCATCCCTACCCTTCAGGGTTCAAATCCAGAGACCAGCAGAAAAATCCTAAGTAATCTTAAATATTAGAGAAGTTGATTGTTACAAAACCAAAAAAATTATGCATATGGCAAAAGTTTACGTCTATACTGCACTTTATATGTGTTTATGAACAAAATTCAGATTAACACTTTCTAAATGTCTGTTTTTCTGTTGATGAACAGGCAAGAGTTAAATTTGAGGAGGTTTGCTCTGTATGCCAGTCACACAGCCTTGTGCTGCATCCCAGCAGATCTGGGTCTGTAATTGGTTTTGTGGGTCCTAATTGCTGCCCATTGCATAGACAGGAGTGGCTTGAAGTTTAGTCTCTGAATAGGACAGTGCCCATGGCATAGCTCAGACTCCATTCCTAACAGCATTTTGTATTATAAAAGCACTTTGTTGTAGCCTGGGAACTACAATTACAGGTAGGAAATAATTGGAAAACTTGAGATTTCTGCTCGGCAGAAGTCAAAATGTGACTGCATGCCTGGTGCTTTCAAATGTTTCCTTGTCAGAAAGAAATGTTTTGCTTTAAGTTTGAAATTGCCTTTCTGTGGTGTTCATTAGCATTTGTTCAGACCAGGTTAGCATACTCCATAATGCATCTGTGTCGAGCTCCACATGCAGATTAAAGGTGTTCATGGGTGCAGTGGAGCTCAACTGTTCTCAGTTCAGAGGGAAATTGCATCTACAATGAGAGAGGAAAAGCCTGAGCTTTACATATTTAGGTTAGGTTTCTGTAATGGAAATATTTCACTGTGATCTTAGTTACAGTTGTGAGTCAAAGCAGGATGTGTGCACAAATACAATACCACTCCTGTTAATTTCCAGAAAGATTCTTAAACCTCAGTGTGTATAGATGTGTTTTGGGGGAGGAGACAGTCTTAAGGATCTCTGCCTCTGTTCTGCTGGCAGAGAAGCTGAATCACACAGCAGTGGGTTGGATTCCCTGAGTATCTCTCACACAGCCTAGAAGACACCCTAGATCTCCAAGCCCTTCCTTAGAAAACTGGAAGGAAAACAGTGAAAACTTAGAAAACAAACAAAACCAGAAAGCAGAAAGTACTGGTGTCTGTTTTTAGACTTGCTGATGGGGTTTCAGGGTGAAGAGCATGCTTCTTGTGCAGAGCCTCCCCATCCTTTGGTGACAGTGAAAGTCTCGGCCTCCTGTGGCACGCTGTCACCGTGGGGGGACAATTCCCACCCTGCACGTGTCTCAGATTTCCCATTCCCTGGTGTGGCAAGGGCTGCAGCAGCCACGGGAGGTGGAGGAGGAGCAGCTAAACAGTGCAGGGTGCTGGAGCTGGAGAGGGAAATACCAAGCAGGAGAAGGGATCTAGCAGCCTGGCCACAGCTAGGAAGGAAACGGTGTCCTGTAGGGTGTATCCAGATGGACAGGCATGCACAGGTCAGTTCTGCTTGCACCCCCAAGATGGTGAGGAACAAGCCTTCTCCAGGCCAGATGATGCTGGCTTTGTGCTGCCTGAGTGCAGCCATGGCAACTGCTCTGTCCATCTAGATACACCCCCCGAGCCTACTCTAAAGGCCTCTGAAGGTAAGAGTGACCTTTCCTCCAGCCTGAGCAGTCTTTGCCTTACCATAGCCTCGGGGTGGGAGGGGGCAAGGGGGACATCACTCAACAGGCATGTAAGCTGTAGAGCTTCCAGTTGTTTTGTGCTTCCTATAGTAGAAAGAGTATGCACCTTGCTTGTCCAGATTACCTCTACCTTCCTTGTTCCTCCCAGAAATCACCTGCTAAGAAGCTAACTAATGCCCTTAGCAAGTCTTTAAGCTGTGCTTCCAGCCGTGAACCTTTGCACCCAATGTTCCCTGACCAGCCTGAAAAACCTCTAAACCTGGCTCATATTGTGTAAGTATCTGTGTGCTGTAGAGAAAGTAAGCTTTGTTGTAGGAGTTGCTTACACTGAGTGTAGGTACTAGAGCTCTGAGGAAAATGGGAGGCAGCTGTGGCATGTTGAGCTCAGTCCATCACAAGTGTGAAATTGCTGATAGGGATATTTAGTATAAAAATGTTCTTCTGGTGTGACCTCACTTGAAAAGTTGGTGGGACACGTACATATAACTAAATACAGTGCTGGTATGTCCCCATTCTCCTCAAGAGATGTCCATGCAGTTTCATGATTTCAGCACTTTGGGGTGTATTTATGCCAAGAACATCGGTTTTGTCATTAGAGACTCTCAACATCAGTGCATCCCAAGGTGTGTCTTGGCATGAGGCACTGGAGAAAAGTGGATTCTGACCAGTTTTGCTGAAATCAGTGTTGGAGTTCTTGCTGACATTAGTGGAGCTGTGGCTTTACCCAGCCCTGAGGAATTACATGAGTGTGCATAAGAAGCGTGTCCTTAGTTGCCAAGTCACTTGAAGAGAGTCTGTTATCTTCACATTATGATATTTTGGGAAAGCAAAATTATTTTTATTATAGTAGTTTGTGTCACTGCTTCTCTGCAGGAATCAAGAAAATCAAAGTAGAGACAAAATGTATTTGTGCAGGCTGGGGAAATTATCACTTTGAATTTTTTTATTCTGAAGTATGTCCACTGTCTGGAGTGTCAGTTGGTCAGATTTTCTCAGGTAACAATTTGTTTTACCTTTGCTTCCTGGATAAAAAAAATTAAAAGTAATTAAATATTCCATAGAATTCAGGAAGAATCAAGACACTGGTCAGAAGAAAGTTACAAAGAACTTAACTTGGAAACAATATTCCAAATATACTGTCTTGAAAACATTTCTCTTATTCTCATGCTTTTCTTGAGAAAATCTCTTTCTTAACCAGCTTCCCAGGGGCCCTGACTGAAGCATTTCAGGCAGCAGCCATTAAAATTGTATTTGCATGCTACATATCTGTGTTGGCTGCTGGAACTGTTCTGGTCTGTAATTATTACACATATTTACTTCTGTCAGAACTAGATGTTTGTATGTAGCACCCTTAAGGGCAGCTGCACACCAGCTGTTGTGGACTGTGCAACACCTGGAGAGTTCATCTGACCTACCTGATGTTCTAAGGGTAAATCCTGCTGATGATCCTCCTCTTGTTGTTACAGCAGAACTTTTTCAAGGCTTAAAAGAATGCTCTGCTCTTCAGAGATGAGGTGCCTCTGACAGATGCACAGTGCCAGATCCCTGTGGCACTCGTCTGGCAGTTAAAACCCCTGCACCTTGTTATGAAGGTGTAATGGGAGGGTGTTGTTCTTTGGAAGAAATCCTCCAGATTTGGATCTGCTGAGCTACCTTGCTGCTGTGCATGGTGTAAAAGCCTGGCTCTGCTGGCAAGTCAGTGATAATTTCACAGGGCAGATTTTGGCCATCCTTAAGAGAAGTGGAAAGAGGCAGAGAGCATGAAACACAGAGAGAAGCCTCGGTTACCTTTGGGCTGGAGCCCCTCAGAGGCCTTGGGGTATGTCAGAAGATGAGGGATAGTGAAACCTGGGCTACTGTGAGTGAGTTAAATGCATTTAGGCAAGGCAAGGGGAAGGTATCATAATTGAGTAGGCTCTGTTCCAAATCTTTGCTGTGAAATTTGCAACTTCCCTTCTTCCTAACTATACAGACGTAATTTAGAGTGACTGGATGTGAGAATGAACCACCATCTATTTTGTTTTATAATAGAGTTTCTCTTTATTCATAGATGAAGGGCAATATAACCTGGAAATATATATTGGCTATAATGATACATGAGTGAAAAGCCTCTAAGTTGTGGAGGTAGCACGATCTACAGCGTAATTCACATAAATTAACTTGAGGGGAGAGAGATTCTCTGGTACCTCATTGAGACTATCTTCTCACTGATGTGATTTTTATTTTTAAACCTAATGGAAGTTGAGAGAAACAGCTCTGGGCAGGAATCCAGGCAATAAGAGTTTTATATGTGCATTAGATGGAAGAGTTTTGGCAACAAAACAGTATCCTTTTCTTAGCTTCTAGCTTAAATGTGTACAAGTAGTCTGTGCATTACTATGCAGCCTTTCCTTTTCATCCTTCTACCTCTGGGCAGTACCAGACAGAAAGACTGCATGGGTTTTTTTTGTTTTACTGCTGCCACACAAAATGTTCAATTAAGCAAGAAACAAATATAAAGCTTATCTAGAGAAGTAGTTATCAAGATGTCATTAACCTGATGGAGGAACTCCCCTCACCGATGGAGGGGTCATTTTTCTGTTGTAAGATTGGCAACAAAAAAGAAACACTGGACTGCAGAGATGACAAATGGTGTGGCCAGTGCACCACTGGAGACTTTTCAAAGACATTCTGCACTGGCCTGACTTTGTTTCAGTTAAGCCTGTGGGACCATTATTTTTTTCATCAGTGTGAAGAGGTTTAGACCAGCATGGAGCACTATGGAAAATCCCTTTCATTTAATTTGGTTTATTACAGTGGGTATGTTATGCCATAACATGCTTTTACTCCACAGCATATTCCAATCAATAGTATTAAATGTTTTCTGCCTCCTTGAGGAAAGTTGATTGAATATCAACAGCTCACTTTTATCAGAAAGCTTAATCATTCCCAGAAGTTTAGAAATAACCTCAGAAAGATAGACATTTATAGCTAACAGCTGGGTTTTCCTTTGCTTTACCATAAAGTCTGCTGTTCCTGTCTTATCACATCACACAGCTGTATATGTATGTTTGAACATATATTTGATAATCAATCTAAACCTGAGGAATGTGACAGTGGGCAGCAGTCTTTAAGAAACTTGCCTTGGGGAAGCTCAGATTAGTTTAATATACTTTTCTTCATATAAGAACTGACAAACTAATGCTAATCACAAACCTTTGGAGTTTTTAGACATGCACAGACAGGAGTAACTCTGAGTATGTAAACAGATCAATGACCTTTTATGTGAAGAGGCTCTCCTGCTTTTTGCAGAGTCAGGGCTGTAAGGATGGAGTATGTCCAATGTACTACTTAGACCACATATATATTAAACTGTCAGTTTAATTAATGATCTTTTTTCCATTTCATTTTGGCTGCAAAAGAGATACTTGGTGAGTATTTTTCTTCTTTAGTACACTTACTGGAGGAAGAAGCTTGGAAAAAATGTGATAATCTCATTATTATCAATCTGTTTTATCAGAGTCCAGCAGACTCAGAACAAGGAGTTGTCTTTGAATACAGAGACAGTGAAAGGGAAGAGCTCTTTTGGGAGTTAGAAACTTTCTCTTCCACCCTTATTTTGGGATAAAGCATAGAGAAGACAACCTGAAGTGTCTATGTGGTGATCTGCTGAAGTCCATGGGTGCCACATACCCACTTCAAGCTCTGCCAAGGGAACACTCCTCCTGCCTCCTTCTCTGGGACAGTGTTGAGAACCAGCCTCTCCTTCCTTCTCCTCTGCTGTTTAGGACTCCACAGCCCAGGTTTAGACCCATCTTTCAGAACTCCCAGTCTATGCCCAGTTAGGTTTTTAATGTGATCAGTGGCCAGTGATTGCACTGAGAAAAGGAAAAATGCAATAGTCACAGGTAGTTGATGTGAACTATTTCTCCTACATCAATTACCAGTTTACCACTCCCAGGCAACAAAATACCAGTTCATTACCTGTTAAATAAAATTAGTTTCTATGTATTCTCTTGGAGTTTATTTTCAAATTTCTGTATTTCAAGGCTCATACCACAATGGCCAGTCTAGTGGATTGACTCTGATTGTGGCCTTGTCCAGGCTCTTCTGAGCTCTGATGAAAGAGTCCATGAAAAATAATATTAAACACTTCTCCATAATACATAGAACACTAAGTGCTGCTTCTCAAACTCAGGACTGACCAGAACTGGAGTTTTTTATATGGGTTTGTAGATGTAGGGTTAGGCTAAAACTATATTTTCATATAAATAAATAACGTGCCAAATGCTGCATCTTTCTATTCACACTTTTAAACTTCTTAAATGCTGATAAATCCCTTCAGACTTGTCAAACAAGACCACATTTATGCTTGTTTTCTAACAGTCACCAAATAAGAAAGATGACATAGATGAATAGTTCACTTCTGTGCAGAACTGGCTTTCTTCATTTCTTACAGATGATTTGGAGGATTGGTTGTCTTGACCCCAGTATTTTGCAGATGACCATTGTATTTTGATCTGCAGAATTCAGGAAGCAAGACAGACCTTTCACGGAGGTTAAAGGAGATATTAATCAACTTGAAATCTAGGCAATTTGATGTCTGAATTATATATGGATTCAGGTTCCACTCATATCTGATTGAAACCTCTGTGATTTTACTAAGATATTTTTTAATTTTTCCAGAATGTCTCTGTCTTTTGCCCAGTGTTGTGTAAGAAGTCAGTTAAGAAGGGAAAAATTCTCCTTAATGAATACAGAAGAAAAAATTATGCACAAGATATTTTTTAAGAGGAGACAGTAGAAGAAAGCAGAGGAAATATTCCTTCTCCTTTCATTTTGAGTGAGAGAAGGAAATAAAGAATGTAATAATAAAACCATCATTATTAACAGGTCCTCTTAAACTAGACATTTATTTTAAATTCTTATTTGAGGGTTTGATATACTAGTTGAAAAGCTTTCCAGTGAAACCAGTCTAGTACTACATGCATTTTCTGAGACACTGAAGGCTATGGGTACACAGTGGTCACTATGTGGCTATGGCAGCATGGAGCTTAGCATCAGGGATAACCTCATGAGAAGTTGCAATTCATTGGCAGCTCCCCCCTGCAGACTGTTCTGCCACAGCAAACCTGCTGCCAGTGCTCAGCCTAACTGGGTGAAATCCAGCCATCAATTACAGGCTCTGGAAGGAAAAAAATACAGAGCAGCTGTTTGCCCAAGCAAGATAAAAAGTCGAGCAAGTTGCTTACCACCCACCTCAGCACACACAAAAGCATTCTTTTTTCCTTCCAGGCCATTTTTTCTTTCCACTTTTCCAAGCAACATGGTGTTTTTATTGACTTCTGTTTAAAAATACATTGTCTTTAGTTTAGAACTATGAGCTGCTTAAAGCAGAAGATGCTAGCTGTAATGTTCCTTTAACAAGAAGCTCGTTTAATTCTTTGCAGATGCTCTTGCTGATGAGTTTTCTTTTGTGCAAAATTAATGCAGCTGGATATTTTGCCTTCTTCTAGGCCCCCCCGACCTGTAACCAGCATGAATGACACACTCTTCTCCCACTCTGTCCCCTCAGGAAGTCCTTTTGCAAACAGAAGGTGAGTTCTTATCCTAATTTATGTTCAGCCATTATGTGAGAGTGGTGAAGGTTTCCATTTTCAATCCCCCCCAGAAGAAAAAATAAATAATAAAGAAAATGAACAGACTTGAGGAGAGAAGTACCTCAGTTATTTTGGACTGACACTGAGATACCTGGATGGAGAGGTGGAGTTAGGACATCCTAAGCTCCTCATAGCAGAGCACAGCACTTCAGTTCTCATTTGAGCCATGAGCATGTGGCTCCCATGCAACCTAGACCTCCTCCCACAGGTCCTAAAAATGGGCTATTGCCAAGAGACCATTTTGCAGCAGCACTGTGAGAATAGAACCTGGGACATGCTGTTGCCTACTGGGAATGCCTGCATCATACTGCAAGGTACAATATGAGCAAAGAGGGAATGGTTCCTTCTTGCAAGGTATAGCAAGACATCCTTACTCCTGTGGAACCATTCAGATTTTCATTAGAGGCTACAAGAGAGAAAGAGTACTCATGGCATATGGTGACCCTTCAGCAAACAAACCAGAAAAGAGTGGTCAGAAACATTAATCCCAAAGAGAAGGTGCTTGCAGTGTACATTTTGGCCAAGGAATTTGGCTCCTGTGGCCAAAATACCTGTGTAGCATTTGCTGCTGCTTCACCCAATCTATGTAACCCTACCAACACACATAGATGAGAAGGTGGCAGAAAGACAACTTCCTGCCTTATGGGGGAAGGTGAGTGATCCATCTTCCCTGGGTGCATTTTATTGCTTGATTCC